CAAGAGGAACGGTTCCACGTTTGACGAGCGATGTGGCAGGAGCTGGGCTGAAGTTTTCCCGGCATCCTTGTGCCTAAAAAGCAGATAGGCGGGCGGGGTGTTTCTCCGTTGGCTAGGGCAAGTCGGCGTTTGACAAATACGCCGTCAGGAATTCTGTCTGTTCTTGCAAGAAGCTGTCATTACTGTAGTTTTCCAAACAGTGAAATTTTCATCTTGTTATAAAAAAGTAAAAACGCTGCAATTCCCAAACGAAGTTGGCACAAGAACTTTGATGTGCCTTCATTAAAGTTTTCTTCAAGTAATCTTTCCCAATTTGTGTTGTCCTTCAGGTCTCTCTGCCAGAGGTTATTGGGCACAGGAGAGCTGAGGAACTAGTGCGAATGGATGTTTTAGAGGATAATTTCTTAAGTTACTAAGCGTGAGTTCCCAGTGCACACCTAGAAGTAATATAAGCAATGTTGCTTAAGAGGTCACTTTTGTCTCCCAGCTGTGAGTGCTGACCTCCTCGCTAGATTTGGCCAAAAGGAACGTATGCTCGTGGTGGGCCTCAACCACTTCATAACTTAAATTCCACTTTCACTGTCCGTTCAAGGGAAGATGTTGGCCATCTGTTAAATACTAATCCACATTGGAATGCAGGCAGCAGCAGTTACTTTACTGGTGAGATCTAACTCACAAAACTGATACTTTCTTTTCAGAAGTATATATTCAGAGTATTCTCACACTTGGCTGTTGCTGGCATTGCAGGCCGAAGATAGCCAGAGGGGTTTCAGCTGTGGCAAATGTATTGTTACGGTCTGGAGACTATGACTGTTAGCAGTACTTGATCCATGATTTTGCAAACACACTTAACAAAGTTGAGCCAGCTTGAATTAGGAGTCTCTTTCTAAGAATCTAGCTGTACAATGTCCACTTCACTGTTCATCACTCCTGCAAATATAATGCTGCATATCTAAGGTGGTTTCTGGATGCATTATCTTTGGGATTTAGGCCTGTCTGCTTCTATACAAACTGTAAACTCAATTTTCCCTCCGTATTTATCATATCTGATTTTCCTCACAGACGTACAGCCAAGGGATTGAATTAGCCTGCCAAAAAGAAAGAGAGTTCGTGAAGCATTCTGTAGAATGCACGTGGAACCTAGCAGACGCCCAGCAAAAACTTGGTAGCTTAGCACTGCATAATTCAGAATCCTGCGATCAGGAATCTGCTCAAGCAAAGACTGAAGCTGCAGAGTTGAGATGGAGAGAGGAAGAGTGGAGAAGAAAAGAAGAAGCACTAAACCAGAGGGAAAGACAGAATCTATGGAACACAGATCCTGTTAGTAAGGAGGTATTTAATAAGGTATGACCTATATCAGTGTGCATGAAAACAAGTATTAGCCTTTTATTTTCATTCCACTTGTTACTAGTCTAGAGTGTCTTCTGTATGTGTTACATACAGAAGCTACAGTATGTGTTAAAAGTGTGGGTTTTTTTTCCTCACTTTGCCTTATGAAAGAGAGCAAGCTGCACTTATACTACAAATCTTGAGGACGTTTCTCCACCGGAAGTGTGGATCAGAACTTACGTGGGTCATCTAGGTATTAGATATGAGCCAGCAATGTGCGCTTGCAGCCCAGAAAGCCAACTGTATCCTGGGCTGCTTCAAAAGAAGTGTGGCCAGCAGGTCGAGGGAGGGGGTTCTGCCCCTCTGCTCTGCTCTCGTGAGACCCCACCTGGAGTACTGTGTTCAGATGTCGAAGCCACAAGTACAATAAAGACATGGACCTCTTGCAGTGGGTCCAGAGGAGGACCATGAAAACGGTCAGATGGATGGAACACCTCTCCTAGGAAAAAAGCTGAGAGAATTGGGGTTGTTCAGCGTGGAGCAGTGCTGGGGAGCCCTTATTGACCTTATTGCAGACTTTCAATACTGAAAGGGGGCTTAAAAGAAAGATGAATATATATATATATTTTTTTTTTATCTGGTCTGTAGCCGTAGGACATGGGGCAATGGTTTTAAACTGAAAGAGGGGAGATTTAGATTCAATGTAAGGAAGAAATTTTTTTATGATGAGGGTAGTGAAACACTGGCACAGGTTGCCCAGAGAAGCTGTGGCTGCCCTATTCCTGGCAGTGTTTGAGGCCAGGTGGGATGGGGCTTTGGGCAACCTGATCTCGTGGAAGGTGTCCCTGCCTGTGGCAGGAGGATTGGAACTAGATGATCTTTAAATGTGCCTTCCAACCCAAACCACTCTGATTCTATGTAATGCAAGTGTTGCCAAATGGGCTGAATAGTAGTGCTTCTCTACTGTGCTAAATTCTTAAAATGTGAAACAGTTAGCTTGCCTCTAATACTGACTACTGTAATGCAGATTATGTAGCACAAACCTTTTAATAGTAGAATCTCAGCTTTGATTTCACAATTTAATTTGAACAGCTAATGCATCTTACAACTTCACTGATGTAGCTGCACCCAGGCTTCAAGGTACATGAATCTCATTGTTGACAGGTCAGTAAGTTCCTACCTGAGGACAGAAGTTTCTCAGAGTTCTTTGAGACTTTTAATCTTTATTATTAGGTAATGCACTTTCTTAAAGAAAACCTTCTCAAATTTATGACATGACTGTAAAATTAGAACACAGCCCTTTAAATAGTAACATAGTAAAATGTAATATTCCTTTGTATCACAAAAAGGTATGTCTGGAGTTTCTGTGATGGTACAATTTTTTTTCTTCCTCAGAGTTTTATTAATCAAAAAAGAAAAGAAAGAGAAGATGAAGATGTGTCTGAACCACTTATGCAAAAACACGAACAAAAGATCAGACACTTTGGTGAGTGTGCTTCTATCAACATTTTGCAGTTTAAACTTCTACAGCATTTCTGTAGGTTTGCTTCTTATTGTGCAGAATGAATGCCAGCAAATGAAAGATCTGGCTAACAGACTGTTCAGCTGTATTTTATCACAACAGGTAATAATTTCAAAGTGAAATAAGGTAACTGTGGCAAGTGGGGACAGTGAAAATCGTAGAAGCTTGTTAGTATCTGTGACCAATAAGAACTTGAATATTAACTTTTTTTTTTTTAATTTAAATGAGCTTAAGCCCTGAAAACTAAAGTTCTAGCAACTTTTTCTGCTGCTCAGTGGGAAAAGGCAGGGAGATTCATGGAAATATAAGTTGTGTATAAAAGTGCATGGGATTGTCCATAGCCACCTCCTTTTAATACATATTTTCTAGTGGCTGTTAAGCTACAAGGGTAATGACGGATCAAGGGGTAATGTCTGTAAACACCTACTGAGAGTGTGTGTGCATGGAATCGTGCGTTTCTTAAAATTACATTTAATTACTCACTAGGTTTCACTTTAGCTCAGTCATAATTGTTGAACCCAATTAAGCACAAAGCTGATCTTATTCATAGATTTCTAGGTTGGAAAAGACCTCAGAGATCATCCAGTCCAACCGTCCCTAATCCCCAATTAAACCATACCCCTAAGTAGTTCATCCACCCTTTTCTTAAACACATCCAGGGATGAGGACTCAGCCACCTCCCTGGGCAGCTTATTCCAGTGGCTGACAACCCTTTCAGAGAAGAAATACTTTCTAACATGCAACCTGAATCTGCCCTGACTAAGCTTATACCCATTTCCTCTTGTCCTATCACCCATCACTAATGTAAAGAGCCCTTCCCCCACCTCCCCACCATCCCTTCTCAAGTATTTGTAGGCCGTAATCAGGTCTCCCCTCAGCCTCCTCTTCTCCAGGCTAAACAGCCCCAACTCCCTCAGCCTCTCTTCATAAGTTTTATTTTCCAGCCCCTTGACCAGTTTAGTCGCCCTTCTCTGGACTCGCTCCAGGAGCTCAATATCTCTCTTAAAGCGAGGGGCCCAAAACTGGGCACAATATTCCAGGTGCGGCCTCACCAGTGCCGAGTACAGGGGCAGGATCACTTCCCTGCTCCTGCTGGTTACACTGTTCTTGATACA